CATAAATGTAAATATTAAATCTGCTAATGGGATAAGTCTTGTTAAGCTGCAGTGTGTGTTTGAGCAGTGAAGACTCGTAACGCACCTGTGTGTGTCTAACACTGACTGACCTCACTGCTATCGGAGGGACTCGTGCTGTAGATCAAGATGAAGATGAAGAGGAAGCAATAACTGACTGAGATTCAAGCGTCTGCTAAATAAGAAACATGAATATGTACGTTGGTTCAGAGCTCGGTTCTGCTCTGTAAATCAGATGTGATCTCGCAGGAGAGACTTTGAAATCTGATGCATGTGGTAGTTTATCCTTCAACAAAGCCGATGCTGATTTAAATCAAACGCTCAGAGATCAGAGGAAGCTTGTGATCAGAGTCTGAGAGATTCACAGAGTCTCCATCACTCTCATCCACTAATCACTCACTTTCTGCATTTGCTCTGGGTTTTAATGTTTAATGACTGCCGTGTTTCATGTCGTGATGGAGGAAAAACGCTGGACTCGTAGCTTGAGACTCCATCTGTACTGAGTGTTTCAGACACACATAATTGCAGAGGTAATTGTATTTGAGAGATGTTGTAAATGTAAAACTCAATCTGGCCATTTGTGTTTGTTGCAAAGATCTTGAATTAAAAAGATAGATGGTTGAAATATCCAGACATCCACCTCAGGGGAATAGGGTAAAAATGTAACTAATAGATTTGACCATATTTCCCTAGTTAATTGATTTCATAAGGAATTGCAAACATTCTTTTTGTTTGTTAATTGTTATGCTTAAATATGCAAATGAGGCATTATCTCATTAAATATGCACTAATCTGCATTCATTTCCAGCACATAAATCTGATGACTGGATAAAGTCAGGTTGATAATTCTGGTCTGATTTTGTCCTCATATTAGAGTTAAATGTTTCTCCAGAGGGGATTGTGGATTTCTCTTTTCATCATAAATCAGAAAATACTGTCAACAGACAGAAAACAAACACATTTTCACCATGTTTTTAGGAGTAAAATGTTGTATAAATCAGTGTGAATGAAATATGAACAAACCTTCAGAATATAGAGAGGAATAAAACTGTAACGTTTGCTGTTTGTAAGAGAAAAAACTCTTTAAAGGTTGAAATCTACAGAAAGTGCAATAAAAGCAACTCTTTGGATGTTTTCTGTCCACTAGACTGAGAGAAGAGACGTGATATGGAGCAAAACAGACCGAAACCTCTGAGCTGAGCAGTGCAGGAATCACACAATGGTTTCATCTGTAATGTCTGATGTCATTAACCTCAAAAACTCACCTTTCATTAAAAACACTGAGAAAGTGACAAAGAAAGCGTACAGTGACACCTGACCTGAGCCTGAGTTTAACAGGATCTGTTTTCTCTCCAGTAAGAACTGGAATTTTGTCGTGTGACGCACCGCAGACGTCTGAACGAAACACTGGTTGTCCAACGGCCCGACTGAAATGAATGAAACTGACGTTTGGAGCTGAACTCCTGGATTATTTCAGTCTGGAGGATTTTATATCACAGTCACTGAGAGACGGACTGTATCAGATCATATTCTGCTGAATCTCTCACTCACACACACACACACACACACACACACATGTCTGGTCAGCTATCCTTGTGGGGACTCTCCATAGGCGTAATGGTTTTTCTACTGTACAGACCGTATATTCTATTGTCCTACACCAACCCTACACCTAAACCTACCCCTCACAGGAAACTTTCTGCTATTTCAGATTTTCAATCTGGTGAAGGGCAGTGTTTGTGAAGTGATTTCGTCATTAAGATGCTCAGGAACATCAGTATCTGAGGAGAGACTGAATCTCAGCTGGAGCTGCGTGACGGATCTCAGCCGCTGCTTTAGTTTCTGTGATAATAACACTGGAGAGACAGTTATTTCAGTCGGACGCATTATGTTAAATGCATCTGCATCAGACTACCAGCATACACGGAAAATATTAGTATTTCTGTCTTGTTTTCTAGTACAAATATATAAAAATTCCTAAATCAATTAATTTACTGGAGAAACAAAATAATGTAAGATATCATGATTATTATTACATTTTTGAAATAACATATATGTTAACTGAAATTAAATAAAATACAAAAAGTTTTATTTTAACTAGTTTAATTTTAATTTAGTTTAAATTGATGCACTAAAATAACTAAACGAAAAAAAAAAACGAAAAAAAAAACGACATAGACGTAAACAAAAACCTAAGAAAAATTACAAAAATACACAACAAAATGACTAAAATCACACTGAAAATGGAAAATATATAAATGAAAACTATACTATCTCGCTGATACTAAAATAGCGCTGTAAATGTAATAACACTCTAAAAGAACACTGTAAGTTGGTTTTGCTCAAAACAAGAGAAAATATCTCAGTGCAGTCAGAAAAATTAACTTGGTTTCACTTTGAATTAACTTTATTCTTCTGACCACATTGGCAGATATTTGTTCTTGTTTTAAGTAAAAACTCACTTAATTATTTTTTTTTCTCAGAAAACGAGATTTAATATCTTAATTTTGCCTCACAAGTAAATCTTGATTTAAGGATGTTCTGATATTAGTACTGGAGCACAAGACAGAAATACTGCGGAAGAACATGGGTGTTTTGCAGCACATCTTACACTGGAGCAGATCAGCTGACCCACAGTTTGCATTGTTTATATTCCGTTTAGTTATTGGAAATCATTTCTACCGTAACAATGACCAGCAGAAACACTGTCCAGACAGAGAACGTGCTTCAGACACACACACACACCTGCAAGCACAAAATATGGTCATTTAATGGTCATTTTATTAAAAAAAAAAACATCTGTGCACATGACTGTTAGTGTACATTCATGAGTGTGTGTGTGACAGAGAAAAACATCATCCACACACACACACACACACTCAGAGTCACAGCTCTGGAGGAGTCTCATTACAGTGAATCTACAGGCTTCGCTTTTGTAAACAATAAACGTTACAGTAATGAAACACAATGAAGCATCACGACATTAATGTGCTCTTCAGACATTCACCATCAAACAGCACACGAGAACAGCGCTCGAGCTCCAGAACCGAGCGGCCCGGTCATTCATCAGACGACAACATCGACGACACATGAGCCAATGAACAAGTGCATGAGAAAAGAGTGTAGCTGGTGTGGTAACACTGGAGGAGTGCGGTGGGCACTTGAGTCGCTCAGTGTTCAGGAATACTGCACTCAGTGTAAGGCGGATCACTAAGGCGTCGCTGCTGGAGAATCTCTCCGGCTGCTTTGAGTCACAGATGATGAGGATGATGAGGGTGATGAGGGTCCACAGAGGAACCATGAGACTGTTTCTGCACACAGTGTGTCAGATGACCGGCTGCGTTTCACAAAATGAGCAACACTTCAATAGTGCACTGACCTTTCATTCCACTGGAGTCAGAAATATCATAATTATGAGCTCCAAACATGTGAATTCTAGATGATATGCCAGTTACAGCACTGGAAGAAGCGTACATATTGCATCTGTTATCTCTCATCTATATACACTGCAAAAACAAAGAAAAGAAAAGAAAAACTGCTGTTCTTTCTCAGTATTTCTGTCTTGTTTTCTAGTACAAATATATTAAAAAAATCCTAAATCAATTAATTTACTGGAGAAACAAAATAAAGTAAGATATCATGATTATTAGTACATTTTTGTTACTTGAAATAACATAAATGTTAAATGAAATTTTAGCTAGTTTAATTTTTATTTAGTTTAAACTGATGCACTAAAATAACTAAACTAAAAAAAAATAGAAACAAAAAATAAAAATTACATAGACGTAAACAAAACCTAAGAGAACTTACAAAACAAAATAAAACAAAAACTATAATAGTATCTGAGGGACACTGTAAATCAGTCTTGCTTTCAGAAAAAAAGTGAGTTTTGCTTAAAACAGGAGAAAATATCTGTCAGAGGCGTCTGAAAAAATCACTTGTTTTCACTTTGAATTAAGCTTATTTTTCTGACACCATCGGCAGACATTTCTTCTTGTTTTAATCATAAACTTTCTTAATGTTGATCAATTTTTCAGAAAGCAAGGCTTGATATCATGTCATTGATATGCGTCTGCAGTAAATGTGTCTTGATTTAAGAATGTTTAGATGTTTGTAAAATTAATCACTCGACTTTATCCGTGTAGAAGTATTTGTCATTATTCTGAGTTCAGATGTCGTGTGTTCACAGTATAATTCATTTGTTGATTTGTTTTAATATTCAGTAATATTATAGGTTTGACTTTGATCTGAATAAAGACACTGTTATCTTCTGTAGAGCTGCTTGTTAGCTAGCAAAAATATGTTCTAAGAATGTTTTTCTAACGCATTTATTTCTGAATGTTCTCTGAACGTCCAAAAGTTTCTCCTGGTTATGCAAACGTTAAGGAAACGTTGCATTGTATCATTTTGCAAACGTCATGGGAACGTTACTTTTGAATGTTTACATTTAAGAGTTACATTTAAAAAACGTCCAGCTGAAACGTTTCAGGAAAAAAACATTGCATGAATGCTGTTTTCGTGCTAACGCTTTGAGAACGTTATTAAGAGCAGATCACTCTGAGTGAACGTTCTGTTAGCGTTTGTTCGTAACTTTGACAGAACACTGCCAGAACGTTAGCCAAAGTCTGAGAAGGTTAGCGGGGTTACAGCGGAATTTAACTGAACTGATCCGAATAATGTCACTATTATTAATTTGTGCATCACTAACCGCGTTTATTACAGTGAAGCTGCTTTGAAATGATCTTTTTTTGATTGAAACACTTAGACTCCACCGAACTAACGCTTATGACATCACCGGCGTCTTTCAGTGTTTGACTGGATTCAGAGACAGGATCGGTGCGCTGCAGTGCTTTCCCAGCTTCAGCAGGTGCGCGTGATAACGGGACTCACCGGTGAAACAGCAGCACGGTCATGTGACAACAACTGCGCGCGGGTCACACATACGAGCAACTTTTCAGAAACCCTCGCGCGCGGGTCCGAGCACAGTCCGGTCAGCGGACGCCGTTCGGCGTGAACGCACCGTCCGCCTCGCGCTCCAGCTCGCACACCGAGTCCTCGTTGTCCCGCGAAAGCTGCGAGATCCGGTCGAACGCGTCGTCCACCTCGTTCGGGATGATGTTGACGTAGGCGCTCGCCACCTCCTTGTGAAACAGCGTGTCCTGGTTGTAGGACACGAGCTCGTTGCTGATGTTCACCGTCTCCACCGGAGTCCGGCAGCGGTTCCGGCAGCCCAGCAGGCTGGAGAAGCCCTTGCGGAACTCCGCGTTGAAAGCGTAGATCACGGGGTTCAGGGACGAGTTGGTCCAGCCGAACCACACGAACACGTCGAACGTGGTGTCGCTGACGCAGGACGCGGACGGCTTGTTGTGGCAGAACGGAACCACGCAGTTGAGCACGAAGAACGGCAGCCAGCAGCACACGAACACGCCCATGATGATGGACAGAGTCTTCAGGACTTTGGTCTCGCGGTTGAGGGACGTCTTCAGGCTGCTGTGGTGTTGGCACGCGAGCCGGTTCGTCCGGCAGCTCTGTGCGTGCTCCGCCGCGCGCTCCAGCGACGCGATCCTCCGGATCTGGATCTGCGCGATCCGGTAGATCCGCGTGTAGGTGACGATCATGATCGCCACGGGAATGTAGAAGCTGATGAGGGACGAGGAGATGGCGTACTCGCGGCTCAGGCTAGAGTCGCAGTTGTCGTCGTCGGTGGCGTTGGGCTCCGCGGCGGCTTTATGCCAGTCCAGCTGCACCGGGATGAACGAGATGAGCACGGACAGCGTCCACGCCGCGCCGATCATCACGAAGGCCACGCGGGGGGTCATCTTGCGCTCGTAGCGGAACGGGCTGCTGATGGCCCAGTAGCGGTCCACGCTGATCACGCACAGGTTCAGGATGGACGCGGTGGAGCACATGATGTCAAACGCCACCCAGATGTCGCAGAACGCGCCGAACGGCCAGAACCCGGCCACCTCCGCCGCCGCCTTCCACGGCATCACCAACACGGCCACGAACAGGTCCGACACGGCCAGCGACACGATGAAGATGTTCGTAACTTTGGTGCGCAGGTGGCGGAAGCGCAGCACGGCGGCGCACACCAGGATGTTCCCGAACAGAGTCCAGAGGATCAGCGCGCACAGCAGGCAGCCGGTCAGCGCGCGCGCCAGCGTCTCCCGCGGCTCGGACTCGGTTCGGTTGGGCATGCTGGGTCCCGGAGCGCTCACGGGCCGCCATCGGGTGTGTGCGCGAGCGCCGGCTCCGGTGCCGATGCGTCCCGCATGACCGAAGAGGGACTCCGACACCGAGCGGGTCCAGATGATCCGATGAGAGGACGCGGATGTGTGTGTTTGCGCTCGACGGCTGTCCGACCTCTCTGAGTGCCCGGGAACTGTGCAGGGCTATTATGAGCGAGCGAGAGAGAGAGAGAGAGACACTGATGTCAGTCTGGATATGCAATGAATGAATAAACGAACCACTGCCTCATATTTACATGATTGTCACGCTTGATTCATACATTATAATTGAACAACTCATTGATGTGTACAACTCAATAATTACATTAGCTTTTGCATGTTTTGTATTTCAGAATGTCTTGCTTATATATGCTAATCCAGTAAGTATAATGCAGACGCAGCTCTTTCACGATCAGATTTATAGAGGTTGTTAATGTTTTTTTTTAACTCAACAGCTTTATTCCAAACGAATAAACAGCGGGATTTCGTTGTGACAACATGCCCCGCCGATGTTAACGCGTTCAGGTGTAAATGCAAGTGAGCAGATGTCAACCACACACGGCTTCAGGTGACACTCAATGATGAGGATCTCTGATTTCATTCATTATTTGTAGCGAAACGAACCGAATTATTTATTTATTTTGCGAAATGCCTTTGAGCTCAATGAAGGACACGCACAATCAAATAAATCTAAAACAACACTATAAGAATGCAAGAATGATGAGCGTTGAGTTTTCCTCAGACTGCTCTGCATCGATTCTCTCATACGAGAGTTCAGTGCACACGCGAAGATTGATTCAGTCAAACGTGTTCAGAAATCCTCAATGAAAGCAGGATGGCATGCAGCAGGAGCATGAATGCGTCTGTAGCGCCGCCTGCAGGCCTCAACGCATATCACAGTAAACGGAGCATCAGAGCAATCACTTGAGCTCCAGAGACACGAGCAGCTAGAGTCTCAGACGCGTCAGTTCTGACAGAAGAGCCTCAGGTGCTGCTGAACTTCACTTCAGCTTGCACAGCTGCATCCAGCCAGAGGGGATTGTGGGATTGCATGGCACACAGGAACACCTCGAACTGTCAGAGAGACGAACACACATCTGCACATCTGGCCTCATCAGGAGCACATCTGTGTTTGCAGTCGAATCAGAATCAGTCACTTCATTGATCACAGACACACTTCTGACTATCCAATCAATCCATCACGGAGAGGATCGAGTCCCGTCCAGAAATAAATAAAAATTACATGAGATATTTAGTCTTCAAAAATCAAAATGAAGAGAGTTTTTGCTTAAAACAAGAACAAAAAATAAATAAATTTCCCTTTGAATTCAGTTTATTTTTCTGAGCCCATCGGCAGATATTCGTTCTTGTTTTAATCATAAACTCTCCTCATTTTGATAATTTTTTCAGAAAACAAGACTTAATATCGTAAGTCATTTTGCTTGATTTCTTCATCTGTAAACATGACAGAAATACCACAGTAAGAAGGTCGTTTGTGCAGTGTGTTGAAACTGTTTGACTGCATCTTCTGTGGAACACAGCACTGTTTTCTGTGAGATCTGAATAATGAAAACAGCTGCATTTATACATGAAGACCTCCAGAAGCGTCTTCACGCTGACGCTTCAATAACACAGTCTGAATAAATGTTTACATTACAGAGCTTCATCTTCAGAGATCTGCTGCGTTAAATACAGCAGTGAAAGCCATGAAGATCTCCTGAATAATCTCTCCCTGTGGAGTTCTATAATAAACCTGGCTTTGTATATCACAAATATCATTGGCTCTTTGAGGAATTACTCTTGTTACTAGATTTTTTTAAGAAGTGCTAAATGCATAAATGTAAATGTTCAAATAATAAGCAGAAACCACACTGCAAAAATGATCTTTCTCTGTATTTCGGTCTGGTTTTCCAGTACAAATAACTAAACATTCTTAAATCAAGAAACTTAAGCAAAATTACTTATTTTAAAGGGTTAGTTCACCCAAAAATGAAAATTAGTCCACAAATTACTCACCCTATCCATATTCAAAGCGTAATAATCACTTTATTGTAGCTTGCGCTCACAGTTGTACACTGAAACAGCTCCGGGAGCATGACGTATGAGGTCAGCGCTGCGCATGCGCCGGTGAGTCTCGTGAAAACCTTTACAAATCCTCGTTTTGTACTTCTAATTAGAGACCGTTGTTTTGTTTTGATCTCTCCGCTGCGCTTCCGCGTGCGTCACTTCTGAGCGGCGCATGCGCTACGCCGACCTCATACGTCATCCGCCCGAAGCTACTTCTATGATATGATATGATATGATATATAACACTTTATTGTCAGACGAGTCTGAAATTTTTCTTGCATGACAGTATCTGTTTACACAACAATCAACATCCTTTAAACAACAACATGCACTTCATCCACACACAAACAAAACACAATATACATTACACTCCCTTAAACATTACATTATGCCTTACCCTCCTACTACACTTCTACAACTACACCATGTTCACATTACTCTTGATTTTTGATTAAGTGTCTTATTCAGCTCCAGGATCGCCTGATGCACAAAAGAATGTTTCAGCCTAACTTTGTTGAATCTTGGGACTCTGTACCTCCGGTTTGATGGTAATAATTCAAACTCATTATGCAGAACATGATTAGGATCAGAAACTATCTTGTTAGCCAGTCCTAACAAATTATTATAATAAGCGGAATCATAGAGCTTCTCAAGGGGCTGACCTACAATCCTTGAGCAAATTTTTAATTGATTGAACAGCTTTGTTTTTAGCATAACAGACAAACTCCTATACCAAATGGAGTTGCAGTATTGCAGTACACTCATTATCACAGACATAAAGAACAACAGAAGAATCTGCCTTCTTACTCCGAATGACCTAAGACGACGAAGAAAGTAGATTCTCTGCTTTGTCCTTTTACAGAGAGCATCAATATGATCTTTCCATGATAACATATCACAAAAACGCATCGATTCGCTACAGGAGGCCTTTGTTCACCCCCCGGAGCCATGTGAGAGACTTTTTTTATGGATGGGCGCTTTTTATTTCACTTCTTTTGGACTGAAGCATGCAACACCCGCTGAGTGCCATGAAACAGCTTGAAAGATCAAAGACAATTATTAATATAACTCCGACTGGATTCGTCTGAAAGAAGCAAGTTATATACAGCTAGGGTGACTTGAGCGTGAGTAATTTATGGACTAATTTTCATTTTTGGGTGAACTAACCCTTTAAGTCTTGTTTTCTGAAAAATAAATCAAAATGCAGTGAGTTTACACTTAAAACAAGAACAAATATCTGCCAATGCGCTCAGAAAAAATCTGCTTAATTCAAAGGGAAAGCTATTTTTATTTTTCTGACCCCACTGACAGATTTTTTTTTTGTCTTGTTTAAAGCATAAACTCACTTCATTTTGATATATTTTCAAGTATCTTAACTTAAGAATGTTTAGGTATTTGTACTGAAAAACGACAAAAATACAAAGAAAGAAAAATACACTTTTCTGCTGTTTATATGGGAGAAAATGATTAGGGTTCACATCAAAAGATGAACCCATTTTTTAGGCTTTATGAGACATAAGTGAACGACGATGAATAAATGTGCTTTAAAGAGTTCATGTCGATTTCATGTTTCAAAGAAACTCCAAAGCCACTGGACTGTTTACATCAAAGAATATTTTTATTTGAAGTTGACAAGCATGTAATCATTTGGGGGGGAAAGTGCAAAACAAAAACAACTTATTGTTGTGTGTTTCACTGTGTGTTTGGGAGGAGAGGAGTTCAAAAAGAGAAGAAAGGTTGATGATAAAGTCGTTTCCTACTAAAGATCTGCTGAAGAGCCGCTCTACAGAAACATCTACATCTGAGCGTTTCACATCGTTTCTCCATCACAGCGCCTGAACTGACTGAGAACATCCCATAATCACAGTCACCAGAAGCGTTTCCACAGAAATCTAATATCCTAAATAAAGAGTCTTTTCTATGAGTCCTGTGTTTGTGATGCTGATGTTGTCCAGACCAGAACAGAGACTCACCAAAACAAACAATCAGCCTCCCGCCGAAGCATGAATAATGGATTCGATTCAGAATCCCATTAAATCCAGAAACGCACGGATAAAGCCTCATTTCTCTCCAGCATCGGAGCGTTTCAAGCCTTTTTAAAAGCCGTCGCTCACAGAAACCTTCAGGACTGAGGAAACCATCGTCACACGTCCTTCAGAAACACGTGAGAACCCAGAGGAATGCAGAGCGCTAAAGATATTTATAACATGTTTCAAAACCTATATGTAACAGATGATGTGCTATAAATGCATGTCTGAATCGAGTGACACGATCTGAAGATCATGGTGAAGCATTACTGCAGATCCGTCGGAGTCTCAGGAGCTCTGATGTGATTCGTGTGTTTTCACGTTGCTTTAGAAGTTAACAGGCCGTTATAACAGACACATCTGAGAAAAGATCGTGATATCAGCAGGTCTTCATGCAGGAGTTCAAGCCAGACACTGATGTGTAATTATTAATTCAGTGGTTTTATGATCAGTTATGTTTCTGACACACTCAGTACTGATTACAGTGCTAAACACTTTTTCTGTCTTGTTTTCCAGTACAAACATCTAAACATTCTTAAATCAAGACACATTTACTGGAGAAGCACAATGACATGAGATATGAAGTCTTGTTTTCTGAATTACTGATCAAAATGAAGTGAGTTTTTGCTTGAAACAAGAACAAATATCTGTTAATGGGATCAGAAAAATAAACTTAATTCAAAGGGGAGATTAGATTTTTTTCTGAACGCATTGGCAGAAGAAACTCATTTAATTCTGATGAAAATTTCAGAATCCAAGACTTAATATCTTAAGTAATTTCCTTTTCCAAGTAAATGCATCTTGATTTAAGAATGTTTAGATATTTAGAGAGCAAAAGTTAGGAAGTTAAATGATTAAAACATACAATATTCACCAGATGTTTGTTCAGTGGCCTGCAAGATTCAAGGATCTTCCAATCAGACGTACTAAAAACATTCAGGATTTAAACCCACATGAGAACTTGATAAAAGAGAACATCATCCTTGATCAAGTGAAGATGTACGTGTGTGTGTGTGTGTCTGTGTGTGAGTGTGAGTGTGTGTGTGAGAGTGTGAGTGTGTGTGTGTGTGTGTGTGCGTGTGAGTGTGTGTGAGTGTGCGTGAGTGTGCGTGTGAGTGTGCGTGCGTGAGTGTGAGTGCGAGTGCGTGTGCGTGAGTGTGAGTGTGTGTGTGAGTGTGAGTGTGAGTGTGAGTGTGTGTGAGTGTGCGTGAGTGTGCGTGTGAGTGTGCGTGCGTGAGTGTGAGTGCGAGTGCGTGTGCGTGAGTGTGAGTGTGTGTGTGAGTGTGAGTGTGAGTGTGAGTGTGTGTGAGTGTGCGTGAGTGTGCGTGTGAGTGTGCGTGCGTGAGTGTGAGTGCGAGTGCGTGTGCGTGAGTGTGAGTGTGTGTGTGAGTGTGAGTGTGAGTGTGAGTGTGTGTGAGTGTGCGTGAGTGTGCGTGTGAGTGTGCGTGCGTGAGTGTGAGTGCGAGTGCGTGTGCGTGAGTGTGAGTGTGTGTGTGAGTGTGAGTGTGAGTGTGAGTGTGTGTGAGTGTGCGTGAGTGTGCGTGTGAGTGTGCGTGCGTGAGTGTGAGTGCGAGTGCGTGTGCGTGAGTGTGAGTGTGTGTGTGAGTGTGAGTGTGAGTGTGAGTGTGTGTGAGTGTGCGTGAGTGTGCGTGTGAGTGTGCGTGCGTGAGTGTGAGTGCGAGTGCGTGTGCGTGAGTGTGAGTGTGTGTGTGAGTGTGAGTGTGAGTGTGAGTGTGTAAACATTGGGGAGTGTGTGAAGAATCTTCAGGCTTCTAGAGCCTATCAAGTCCATGAGAACTGGATCCGATCCCAGTCGTTCTGAACGCATGAGCTTCCTCAGACCAGTGTTTGTGTGTCTGTCAGTGTGTGTGAGCACCAGATAAAGTCCCAGTCGTCCTCAAACCTTCCGGAAGACCTCGAAGAGCGACGCCACCGAGTGCATGCGGTAGAAGAGGTTCATGGGAATGGCCAGGTTCAGCACCGTGGTCCAGACGCTGTATCCGAAGGTCTCCTTCTCCAGACCGCTGTCATACTGCGGACGGCAGCCAAAGGCCGGGAGAATCCATAGCTGAACGCAGAAAAGAATAAAACCTTCAGCGCTCATGCAATAATTCACCTAAACATGTCAGTTCTGTCATCGTTTGCATGCACTTTCAGACACGTGTGACTTTCTTTCTTTGGTGGAACTCAAAAGGAGAAGATGTTTAGCTGAATGATCGCCTGCACTGCAGAAAGTGTTTCCGTCTTGTTTGTTATGTATTAAATTTAAACTACTTAAAGGGGTCATATAATGCGATTTCAATTGTTCCTTTCTCTTTGGAGTGTTACAAGCTCTTGGTGCATAAAGAAGATCTGTAAAGTTGCAAAGACTAAAGTCTCAAACCCAAAGAGATATTCTTTATAAAAGTTAAGAGTCAGCCACACCTACCTAAAACGGCTCGTTCTAACACGCCCCCACAAAATAATGTTCTTTTTAGCAGCATCATATGACCCCTTTAACAAACTGTAGCTGTAGTGTTTGCCAACACTGCTGCAACCGGCTGCAACACACTCTTTGCACTTCAGTTGATGGCGCTGTAGTGAATGAGGAAGACATCTGAAGTGCTTCCACTTTTAGATGCTAAATATTCAGCAAAATTGTATATTTTAGTCAGAATTACTAGACTCCCATTGTATTGCGCTTGCATGCTCTGACGTTTGTTCAGTGCAGTACAGGTGCTGCTGCGCTGACCGTCTTACAGGACATCTCAGTTCTCTCTCTGCACTGTGAGGAGCGATGAGTGCGGATACACAGCTGAATCTGACCCTGTCCAGTGGTGTGTTTTGGTCCATATTCCGTCAGGATTTAGTGGTTTTAACATTACCAGTAGAGACCCACAGGGACCATTACAGTCTCCATTAAAACCAATACAATTCCCATTATAACCATTCTAATCATTACAAATTCAATCAGGGTTTCTGTGGGTTTTTTTCAGCAGGGTTAGTGAATCTCTCACACACACACACACACTCACACACTCACACACACACTCACACACACACACTCACACACACACACACACTCACACACTCACACACACACTCACACACACACACTCACACACACACACACACTCACACACTCACACACACACTCACACACACACACTCACACACACACACACACTCACACACTCACACACACACTCACACACACACACTCACACACACACACACACTCACACACTCACACACACACTCACACACACACACTCACACACACACACACACTCACACACTCACACACACACTCACACACACACACTCACACACACACACACACTCACACACTCACACACACACTCACACACACACACTCACACACACACACACACTCACACACTCACACACACACTCACACACACACACTCACACACACACACACACTCACACACTCACACACACACTCACACACACACACTCACACACACACACACACTCACACACTCACACACACACTCACACACACACACTCACACACACACACACACTCACACACTCACACACACACTCACACACACACACTCACACACACACACACACTCACACACTCACACACACACTCACACACACACACTCACACACACACACACACTCACACACTCACACACACACTCACACACACACACTCACACACACACACACACTCACACACTCACACACACACTCACACACACACACTCACACACACACACACACTCACACACTCACACACACACTCACACACACACACTCACACACACACACACACTCACACACTCACACACACACACACACTCACACACTCACACACACACACACACACACACACACACGCACGCACACACACACACACACGCACACACAGACACACACACAGACACAGAGAGAGAAGATAAGCTGACAAACGGTCAGATTCACGCAATGGGATTCAATGAAAACAATGGGAACGCTCTCCAAATGACTGAGAAATAAGGATGTTGAATGGAGCCTTTTCACATCTGCAGGATTCTCGTCATAGACAGATATGAATTTTCCATTTCCAGTAGCATAAGAAAAAACCCACCATACCGTTTCCTCAGATTAAATCATAGAAAGATTGTACTATTTACATAACATGTAGTACAGAAATAGAACTCAGTATAGAACATATAGAAAACACTTTACAATAAGGTACCATTTGTAAACATCAGTTAACATAAACCAGGGTCAGTACAGTTAACAAAAACCACTTAAAATAAAATTTGACTGAACTAAAACTTGAGGTTCTAAAAAAGAAGGTGAATCTTATTTTATTTAATCTAGTTCCAAGAAAACATTGCTCATTTTCATTTAGTTTAATGTGATGTTTTAAAATAATTACAACTAAAAGTCAAGTCACGTCACCTTTATTTGTATAGTGCTTTATACAATACTGATTGTGTCAAAGCAGCTTTACAGTGTCAAACAGGAATTATTATATTATAGTTAATTATCTCAAATTAAAATTAATAGAAACTATAATAGTATCTCAATGCTACTAAAATAACACTGACATGAACTAACAATGAAAAATAATTTATTAATTTTAGTTAAACATCAACATTTACTAATATATTATTATGCTTTTATTAACTAATTAAATACTAATAAATTAATGAATTACTGTAAATGAATAACAGATGTTTAGGAATGAAGTGATTTAGTAATGTTAGTTAATGCATTAACCAATGTTAACTAATGGGACCTTATCATAAAGTGTAATGTGAAATCTCTGCTAGATTCATGATGGTAATATGTATGGAAACACATCGTCACTGTCAGTGAAAAGAGTCCACTGGAGTTTGAAATAGAATTGAAAGAAATTCTGACTCTCTGACACCATCTAGAGGATCAATTCACCATAAAACCATAAACCTACTGCAAACTATAGCAAAAGTTTCTACTTGATAATGAAGAGCTGTGGAAGCAGAAAGAGAGGAGACGAGAGGAGACGAGAAGAGAGGAGACGAGACGAGAGGAGAAGAGACGAGAGGAGAGCAGACGAGAAAAGAGGAGACGAGGAGAGGGGAGGAGAGGAGACGGGAGGTATGGGAAGCCAAACAACCCAAAAGTGGGATGAAACAGTGCGGTATTAAAGTGTTCTCAATGGACCGAGCTGCGCGACCGACTCGACAGCGTAGAGAGGACGTGTTTACTAGCGCCACCGAACTGACAGTGTGGCGCGAACATTACTCTCCGCAGAAGTTCGTGTTTTTTTTATATTTAGTAGTCACGTTCACAGCAGAAACTTCCATTATCCTCTTCAGGACATACATTTTCCCTTATGGAAATACGGAAATTAACAATGGTTTTATTATAGTAAAAGTGCAATAACCATGGATTGATTGTCATTTTTTTAAATCCACAGTTTAACTACAAATATATGGTTAAAAGGTTAGTGTAATAAAATCATGGCTAATTTTAATGTGTTTTCCGATAAACCTAAAACACAATGCAGTGCAAAATTCAAAATACATCATATTGAATTTACATACACTGTCCCTAATTTTTAAAGAGTTTTTTGGATAGGAGACGAAAGGAGATGAGACGATAGGAGACGATAGGAGACGAGACGAGACGAGAGGAGAGGAGAGGAGGCGAGAGGAGATGAGATGAGAGGAGATGAGACGAGATGAGACGAGAGGAGGAGAGGAGACGAGAGGAGAGGAGGCAAGACGAGAGGAGGAGAGGAGACGAGACGAGACGAGACGAGATGAGAGGAGATGAGACAAGAGAAGAGAGAGGAGAGGAGAGGAGAGGAGAGGAGAGGAGAGGAGAGGAAATGAGACGAGAGGAGAGGAGACGAGAGGAGGAGAGGAGATGAGAGGAGAGGAGATGAGACGAGACGCGACGCGACGAGACGAGAGGAGACGAGAGGAGAGGAGACGAGATGAGAGGAGAGGAGAGAGAATCTGTTCAAAGATTCGGTTTCGATGTCAAAGCACTTTGTGTTCACTACCAGACAAAGGTTTGAGGTCAGTATGACTGTGTTTTGTTTTAGAAAGCAGATTCACCATATGCTCCATTTTTACGAGATTATTATATGTAATGTATTTCTGTGATCAAAGCTGAATTTTCAGCATCATTACTCCAGTCTTCAGTGTCACATGATCTTCAGAAATCATTCTAATATGCTGATATTAGAATTATTTCTGCGACTGAGTCTGGTTTCTCACAAGGTTTTTTCTCCATTTCTGTCACCGAAGGAGTTTTTGTTCTTTTGGCTTGTTTAGTTGGGGACGCTTGACTGATTGCACAGACACTATTGAAGAGAGCTGAACTGGATGATGACATCACTGAATCATGAATGAACTGACTTTAGCTGAAAAAATGACTCTGTTATTGTCTTCTTACATTATTGACAAACTATTTTCCTGTTTGACACTGTAAAGCTGCTTTGACACAACAAGCATTGTATAAAGCGCTATACAAATAAAGGTGACTTGACTTGATTTGCTGCTCAAGAAACATTTCTGATTATTATCAATGTTGAAAACAGTTGTGCTGCTCAATATTTTTGTGGAAACCATGATGCATTTTATTTTTCAGGATTCACAGATGAACAGAAAGTTCAAAAGAACAGTATTTATGTGAAACATTTTATCTAAGTGTGAAGAATGTTTTAATAATCTAAAAAAAAGTTTTTCCACTATAAAGAACCTTTAGTGGTTTCATGGGTGTTAACGGTTCTTAATGGAACCATCAATGCCCATAAAGAACCTTTATTATAAGAGTGAACAGTAAAGTGACAACACACCTGCTCGAGAGAGAGCGCAAGAGACAGAGCGAGAGCGAGAGAGAGAGAGTCTATAGTAGAGGGAAAAAAACAGACTCCTCCCACAGTGAGCCGAGCACTCTGAAAAACACTATTGTCCGCACACTCTCACACACACACACACACACACACACACACACACCTGTGGAGAGATTGGCGTATCCCAGCTCAGTCAGGCGTCTCCTGTGGTTGTTGAGGAAATGTTCAGCTTCTGACATCACTCCATTACACCACAGCAGCAGGTTAGTGAAGACAGCGTGAATCACTCCAAACCTGCTCAACACACACACACACATATCTGTGTTTCACATGATCGGATTCATCATGTGTTGCTGAGGCTATTTCATCAGCATCCTGCTCCTGTGTGTCTAATGTTGACTCTTCCCAATCATATGCATGTATCATAATCATCACCTTCGAAAATCATGCATTTATTGCATTAAATAGTGCATTAAGTGTACTGTAGAGTGAACTATGCAGTGAACTGATGAAATTGCATAAACAAGTCACTTTTGAAAAAAAGCATAACTGTAAATGTTTGTGTATGGCAGAACTTCTTCTCATGCATCTGTCTGCAGGATTGAATCTCTGATATTTGTTCTCATTTGGAATAAAAGCATCTGCTGCAACATGAACGAAGAAAGAGAAAGAAGCGTGTCTGTACCTTTCAAACGTTTCATATTTCTTGATGACATCTTTGATGTGGAACCAGAGGAAATGCACCTGCAATCAAGAGCAAACACATGGTTCACTTCAGAACGGATCTGTTCTGAATAATCACACGCTTGTCTGCTGTAGAGCTGCGTTACAGCTGGAACTGAATTTGATTCATAACTTAACTAAATTCATACTGTTACTGTTTATTTCAGTCAGAAATGTTCTAAGTTTTGCTAATGTTATGAAAACGTTATTTGTGAATGTTCTCTTAAAGTCCAGTCTTTAAAATGCTTTTAAAACTTTTTTTCTTGGTTAAATTAATGTTAAAGGGAGTGTTACTTTTGATTATTCTCTGAACGTTCTGAAACAAGTAGCAACATTTAAAAAATGTTAGAGAACGCTCCGTGAATGGTTTTGTGTTTTAACATTATTAAAGAGCCGGTATTTTTGAACGAACGTTCTATTAACGTTACTTTGTATTCGTTCCCTGTTATCCGGTGAAGCTGCTTCGAAACAGTCCGTGTCTCGAGACAAACGTGCCCTGACACCGGGCGCGTGCCAGACGCGCGCTCTCACCTGAGATATGGTGTGCAGCGCGTGCACGATGGGATAGACTCCGAGCACGGCGGAGACGCAGGAATGATATCCGACGAAGTAACCGATGCGGAACGCGTCCATGATGAGCGACAGCAACGCCAGCATCGTCAGCCCCCCTGAACACACAGCACAATCATTCACTCTCACGCTCACACAGCATGGCGTTCGGGAGCAGATGCGCTGCGTTCACCTCGGATCCAGCTGGTGCCGGCGTGCGCGTCCCTCTCCGGCACCGCGCTGCGCTCCCGCTCCCTCCGGATCATGTAGCAGAGCATCCACACGAGCTGCACCAGCATCAGCGCCGTGATGAAGGCCAGCAGGTGCTCCTTCTTCACCGCCGGACCGTGCTGCGCCAGCGCGAGCATCACCGACACACCGATCAGCAGCAGGTTGGTTCCGTACTGCGCGCTCAGCGTCTCCGCGTTCTTCTGCGGGTACTTCTTGGTCAGACTCACCTTGAGCTTGGAGAAAAGTTTCTTCTCCGCGTTCGAGGATGATGAGGAGGAGGAAGCGGGGCTGTACTTGTTCAGACACATGATGTCCAGGCCGCTGTGCTCCACCATGGTGCCGTCGATCAGCAGCAGCGGCTCCGGATGAACGCCGTCAGGGAGCCGCGGACATCGCCGCTATATACCTCCTACAAAGCGCAGCAGATTATCACGGATCGAGTTTCGTTCATCTGCGAGCTCCTGGAAAAGCGACGGTGCCAAGAATCCTGAGAAACAGGCGCGCGCTCCTCACCGCGTCTCCACGCTTCTAGTGGTTCCTCCTCACGCCGCGGTCAGATGCGAAGCTCCAGTGAGCTTCAGGCTCTCGGGTTTCACTGGTCAAAGGCTCTTTCTTTATGGACGGCCCTTTGTTGACCGCAGACTCGTATAACGGATGTCCAATCAGAAGAATGTGGTCAGCGTGAAATCTGCGTGCGGAATTAAAGACGGATTGCGAAACGCGGCTGAAATCAGACGCAGCCTCTTCTGTTGAAGCGCTTGAAGAAAAGTTTACGAGAAGAAGCCGAATTTGACGGTGTGCTCGATTACAGAGACCCACAATTAGATGAAACCGATCCGGGCCAGAGAGCTCCAACAAAAGAGCTTCTATTATAACGGCTCTGACCTGCGCACAAACCACCCGCATCAGCCTCGAGTCATCCGCACTGGAGCTGGGCTCCGTCATGATCCGGATCAAACGCTGGTTCCGCTGATCGACTCCGGAGAGCTTTGATGAAGTCTGACAGATGCGATCACGCGCTTATCACCACCATCATCATCACAGAGCCATTCTCTCGTAATGTCATCAGCGAGCGGTTTGATCAAGCAGCGCAGGCGCGTGCAATGAGACTGTAAATAACAACAGTGTTGGGGAACGTTACTTTTACAATATTGCGTCACTCCATGAAAAAGTAACTACTTGCGTTATGGAAAGTAATGCGTTACGTTAATTCTGATTTACCTTTTCTCATCTGTGCTGGGCTCGTTTTTCTCTTTTCAGCAATAAAAAAGGAAACACAAATGTTATGTTTATCTAAAGTCATTTTTGCTTATTAGTATGGTTGAAATGGATCATGGAAGGTCAGCAGCAAAGACACTGGTTAATAAAATGAGCTTAAATACATAAAGGATATTTAATTATTGCAGGTTTGCGTCATATTCTGAGTTTGCGTTCATTTTGAGGAACACTGAATGTGTTTTTGTGCAGTGAGATGCGTGAATGCTCTACAGTAGCATCATGTTCACACACAAACACAGCGCATCTGCACTCACTCCTGATTCTCTCATGAGCACAGGACAGCTGTCAGTCAGTACAGGAGGAACAAAGTAACCGCCGTTATTTATTTGAAATACTCAGATATTTCCTTGTAAATTAAAAAGTACACTCTAAAAAATGCTGGGTTAAATACAACCCATTGCTGGGTAAAATAGGGACAAACCCAGCAATTGGGTTGTTTTGACCCAGCGGTTGGGTTACTACCCAGAAGGTTGGGTTAAACATTTAACCCAACCGCCGGGTCAAAACAACCCAATTGCTGGGTTTGTCCCTATTTTACCCAGCACTGGGTTGTATTTA